TATACTTTTAAATTTTTGATAACGTAATATAAAGTTACATTTTTAATGCAGATATTTGTTTACTTATATACCCCGGGGTACTTTGGCGAACGGAATACGGTATATGAATCATTCATTATATTTGAATCAATGGCTCACGAGTTACAATAAATTTTTTCTTAATTGCGCCATAATACCTATAATTTACCTTGTGAGGTCGAATTTGTAGACAACCTAATTCGAAATAAGTATCATTATTTCTTTATTGTAATGATTGGACTATCGTAGCTTAGTTTACCTTATAGGAAAAATCAACCTCCAATAACATATTAAATTCGCCTGCTATTGCTTATTATAGTTAGCCAAAATATAGTCAATAAAATATACTTTACCTTTTTCATATGATTATCTTACCTTTCAATTAAAATTTTATAAAACTTTTATCATTTACTAGTTAATATAAATATTATATTTGGTATAGAATGGAGTATTGTTCTATATTTCATATTTCACATTTCACAGTATATACTGTATATAGATAGCAAGTATAATACAAAAAACAAACCTCTCATATACAGTAAATAGTCAACTTGATTTTTATCACTTTACAAAAAAATATTTAATATAAACAACTCATGAAAATATGTATACATACATAATTTATATTTGCAAAAAGTTTTATTACGATCCATTTTAGTATATTCTTTACAAATACTTACTGGTTTATACCTTTATATTTTCATCTGCGCAAATTATATTTGTAGAAGCACTATATGAATGTATGCAACTGATGGATCATTAGAGCTCTAATTGAAATAGTTAACATAATAATCAATAGTGAGATTACTGTATCAAAAGCTTGAATTAAGGATCGAATGACGGGATGTAAAATAGTAAGATTTAGAGCATAGTTTTGAACTTAACATTTATCAAACCAAAAAACATGGGAAAGTAATACCATTTCAATCAATAAAAAAAATGTAATGATAATTTCGTCAAAAATTTTCACAATACAGTACAATGATAAAATCTTACTTTATTCTCCAACATGATCTCGTAAGTTTTGAATTGCAACGGAATGGTTGAAAAGACTTCATAAACTAAGCTTTATACATATGTATGAAGTTAAGCGGAATTTTATTCCTTTTTTTTTAATGACCAAGTCAGATAAGATAAAAAAATAATTGTGATTCTGACCTCGAATCTTTTTTTTTTCCGATATACAATTTAAAAGTTTTTTTTTAATGAATTGATTTCATTTAAATCAATATGGGTATATAAAGTAGAATCAGGTGAGACACGTATTATAATTATAAAATTGAACAAAATGAAAATAAGATTATTCTTCCATCTGCCTTTTAACACCCCTAGGAGGTTGTCCGGGTGGATATTGTGGCGGTAAATTGGGAGCATTAAATGAAGCAGATCCTCCTGGAGGTGGTAATGCACCTGCCAGAAACGGTTGTTGAATGGGTAATGTCGAAGGTATCCCCGTCGGCGTAGGTGGTAATGGGTTAGGCGGAACGGTAGTACCAATTCCAGGCCCACCAATTACAGGAGGAGGTGGAGGAGGAGCGGTAGTACCGATTCCAGGCCCACCAATTACAGGAGGAGGTGGAGGAGGAGCGGTAAGTATAGGAACAGTAGCGGCCACAGTGCCTGGAGCTCCATTTCCGACCGGTGGACGGGGATGCATCATTAAAGGAGGAGGAACCGAAGCTACTTGTATAAAGGAATAATCAAATTAATTCAAGTATTATCAATTTTTTAATCGAAACATGAAAGACCTACCGTAAGGTGGAGCATTAACTACTGGCGCAACGACAGTAGGAATCATACCAGGAATATAACCATATTGAGGAGGAAATCCTAAGAAATAAATAAATAGATCAATAAATAGATTATTATATATCCACATTAAAAAAACATCATAAAAATTAGATCAAAGGCTTATTTACCAACTTGTCCGGCGCATTCGTATGCTTTTGTAATTTCGTCTATAATTGCTTGCGCTTTGTCTTGACCTAATTCTGTTTTTTTGATTAAGGGGTGAGTATATGAACATAAGAAGAAAAGAAGAAAGAAAGAGATAACATACCAGCATAATAATTTCTAACATTCATGATATGATTTTTACCATTATTGTGAGCTTTTCGCACCGATGACGAATCTTTAAAATTTTTTAGATTTTAATAGTTTTATAAGTATGATCACTATTTTCCATTAGAGATGAAATAACACATACCGTGCGTTAAATACACATCACAATAATCTAAAAATTTTTAGAAAAAAGATCAGAAGAATGATTAATGATCTCAAAACGGAGAAGTACAGAGGTATGTATGTAGACTTACCACAGTAATATTTTGGCATTACAACGACGAAGAAAAACTGAATATCAGAAACTCTAATAAGTTTTCTAGAAACTTATATAAAAAACAAATTCAGTTCGGGTGGCTTGTAAATATAGTTAGCGTTATACTTGGAATTAAGCTCAGAAATTACCAGAAACTAACGTAAAATGTCTATGATCACATGATATAACTATGAAACATAACGGTACATGACAGTTTTCGAAACTGACTTTCAATCTTTTCGATAATGACTTCCGACGACGACGAAAAACCCGGTAAGTCACTCAAAACTAAAATATATATCCTTTTCATTTTAACAAATGAATTAATGATATATATATTATTATTTTGTATAGTAATGATTGCTACGCAAAAAGAAATGGAAGAAGCACACCTTCCTATAGAATATCGAGACTTTTGTGCACATTTATTAATACCTTTAAATAAATGTCGAAATAAAACTAATTACTTGCCGTGGAAATGTGAAAACGAGAGGCACGCATATGAAAAATGTCAATATGATGAGTGAGTAATTGATAAATGAATATTCTAAGATAATTTTCTTAAATCATTTATCTCCATTAAAACATAAATTGGAATACGATACGTTTTATAAAGTTATTTACGTAGAATGCGGCTTGCAGCAAAAAGGAAAAAAGAAGAGGAACAAAAGAAACAAAGCAATAACGTATAATATTAATCACGAATGGATTGATTAACATTTATTATAAAAAAGTAGAATATTTTTTCAAGATCATTCAAGAGAAATTTACATTAAGATCCTCTGATTTTTTGTTCAGTGAATAATACATGTCTACGAACTTGTAATAATTTATAATAAAAACTCAATATCGCACCAAATAAAAAAAAAAAATAAAAAATCAAAGATAAATGAAAATAAACATACTTATAGGATCATATTTAATAAATGATAACTTTGGTAGTTGTCTCGGTCGAGTTCTTGTGTAAAAGTATCCGGTACCGGCAGCCGAGACGAGTTTTACTATTGTTGTTCTTTTTATTTTATTTTATTTATTTATTAGCACAAACATAACAAACCTAGCTCAAAAATGTTCATTATCACTATTTTATTTGAAATTTGTGAAATTTACCTTGCTTTAGCTTTTTTTGCCACTTTTTGTTGAAAGGCATAATAAATTAAGATATTTAAAATAATTCGGATAAAAATACACGCATACATATAATTGCATATGACTCACTTTTTAATTGTCAAAGAAATTCAAATTCACAAGAGAGAATGTTTGAAAATGTTTGTTAATCACAATTTATTTTTAATTCGGGCCAATCGAAGTCGGGCAGAATTACAATATCCGATTGGACTATCTTTCACATCACGTACATGTTGATAAGGATTATTTCCCGACAAACACTTCCCCCCAAAAAAAAATTTCGCCGACAATCATCTACCCGACAACCAATTCTTGGCACTTTCATTTCTTCGACACTTCATCAATTTCCTCGGGAAATGGAAGTGTCGAAGAAAGGAAATTGTCGGGGAGTTGGCTATCGGGGAAATGATTGTCGGTGAAATTTTTCGGAGGTGTTTGTCAGGGAAATAATCTCGGGGAATGATAGGGAACCATCGATAAGGGATAGGGCATTGTATAAAAACGCGGCAATATGACATTTTTTATACATTAGATAAATAAAAATAAATAATTACAACTTTTTACACAACTTTTTTTACACAACTTCTTACATAACTTTTACATAAATTTTTATTATATTTATTACATAATTGTTTTGGCTGATCCAAGTAAAGCCGCATACCATTTTCTAATAATGCAAAACTTTTTTGGTAGTCAGGTACCAAACGCTGTTTGTCGAAAATTCTTTTGGAGCAATTGGAATGGACTTAAAAATTCGTAAATATTAAATATTTCCACAAAAAGTAAAGTTAATTATTTTTAATTAAATAAAACGATAAAGGATATTCAAAAAAAAAAAAAAAAAAAACCACGCAACTGATTGACGGTGAGAACTTCCAGTTAACCGTCTATCACGTTCCATCATCTGCGTATCCCAAGTATCTAAAGAGATTCTAGGAGGCTAATAATCAAAAAGATGTAATAATTTCGTAAACAATCATAATTAGAAATTACACAATATGGAATTGGAAATTCAACAAATTTTCACAAGTGTTCAAGTCTTTTCCCGATTCAGTGATAAATTTGACATTTTTTATATTGAAAGAATCACCTTGCCTTCATGTCGAATCCTTTTAGTTAAATTTAATAATGTACCAGTCACTCCTATCATTCCAGCAATTATGCCTGAAATGAAAATCACAATTATTAGAAATTTAATAATAGATACTCTTATTAACCCGAAATTAATTCACCTAAAGGGATAAGCGCTTCAAAAGGAACTGGCATGGCTAACGGAAAATTAAAACAGATACGTAGAAATAAAAAAATTGTGAAAATTGATTAAATTTATGCGTAGATCAAGTTGTGATACGGTTAATCATTTATAGATACTCCGATCGGAGTTAATAAACTTATGATACTTATGATTATGTTGTGTTAAACACTCCGGTTTAATGCTAAGACGCGCCCAGCTTCCGAATGTAAATAATATTATCTCACCACACAAAATGTGAAAATTGTAAAAAGTCGTTTTTTTTATATTCAGCCCTGGTGTTACCTTTACGTCATGTAAAAATAAATTGATTCATAAAGAAATCATCGACAGAACCATCTGATAACAAATGTTTGTCCTTGCAACACGTGTGATTTTAATGACTTTATACCTTCATTTTAAATAAAAAGCCTCAAATTTCTCCCACGTTGTTTTTTTGGTATTTTTTTAAAAATAAAAAAATATATATATTTCTATTTTTCTATTAAGATTTAAGTTCATAATATTCACGTTTTTTACCACTCATTTAATTCACTTAATTTAACGAAAAAAATCCAACAAAATGTCTTCTGATATGTTTGATAAATTCAAAACCACTTTACAAGACGGAAAAACCCAAATTACCAAAGTAGTTTCGGATGTTAATGCGGAAATAACAAAGACTGCGCAGAATAATAACATAAATTCTCCTTTACCGGCCGAATTTTCCTCTGAAGTCGCAAAAGCTGCCAATATCTTGAATGGTTTTACTGGTAATTATAATAATCATAATATATATTTATGTATGTATACTTATTTATTTCTTGATTTATGAATTTCTGATTTTTAAGACCCCGAAAAAAGTGAGGGAGGTCTAGAACAGGTAATCCCCAAGGAAGTTTTTGATAAAGCCATGGGTTTGGCTGTCTTCACCGTTGTTAAAGCTGGCTTCGTGTGGTCTGGACGCGTCGGATCTGGTTTGGTTGTTTCCAAGTGAGTTTACCTTATTTTTATTGTTATTATTACCTTATATTTGCGTAATATTTGATTTTTTGCTATATATGGTAAAATAATATTTATCTTGTAATCTTGTAGACTCGATGATGGATGTACGTAAAATAAATGATTATTTCTTTTATCTTATATTTGTCATACAAATTGTTTATCACAAATTTTTTTTTTTCGTGATATAGCTTGGTCCCGTCCATCCTGCATTAGTATTGGTGGAGTGGTAAGTTTCAACCGACTAAAGGGACACTGACTTTAATAATTTAATAATACTTAATATTTATTAGGGGTTTGGCCCTCAATTTGGTGCTGATGTCACCGACTTTGTAATCATTCTCAACACAAAAGAGGCTGTTAAGGCATTCTCCCATGGTGAAAATGTAACTTTAGGAGGTAATTACATCTTATCGTTTATTAATTTTAATTTTAATAATAATAATAATAATATCTATCTAATAACGTCCATCATCTCACTCCATACAGGAAGTTTATCTAGTAAGCTTATCCTTTTTTATAATGATTTTTCAATAAATCACATATAATTGACTTTCTATTCAATTATCATTATTGTAGTAACCGCTGGTCCTCTTGGTTTCGGAGGTGAAGTTGCTGGTTCTGTTTATGATGGTGCCGCCCTCTTTTCTTATAGCAAGTCTAAGGGTCTTTTCGCTGGTATGCTTTACTGTCTAGTTAACACTCATATCTATCTTTCATTTATTTTATATTAATTTTTTTTATTTGTAGGTGTATCGCTTGAAGGCACTATCATCTTTGAACGTAAAGATGCGAATCATAAGTTTTATGAAAAAGATATATCAGCTGAAGAACTTTTAACCACAAAAGCTGTAATGTATCCACCTGCCACCCATGTGTTGTATGAAGCCATTAGAAAAGCTGAAGAAAGACAGCCAAAGAATTAAATTCATATTCATAATGCGAAATTAATTATTTCTAGTTTTAGTCAATCAATAGTCACTCAATAATCCATTCAATAGTCACTCAGTAGTCACTCGTTTCAATTTTTATTGTTATATATCTAATAGCTTATCTTTTTGGTTATATATATATTATATAATATACAGCATAATAAATTCTACGTATAAAAATATATTGATTATATTATTATACTCTACGTATCATTCCTTTGTTAACCTTGTACGTATTAAAGCGATTAATGAGTTTGATTTAAATCTGGTTGGGTATTTTCACATGTCAATACCATATGATCTTGATTGGCGTTTTTGTAACGTTAGACAGTGCAAGTACGTTGTTTTCACGCGATTTTGGATCAACTCGATTATTTTGACAGCGAAAATTACACTTTATGCATATATTGTATTTATTGTATCCTAAAAAAGAGACGCACAAACCATTTCATTTATCTTGGATCATAAGATTTTTGTACGTACGTAGCTGAAATAAAAACTATTCATTAATAATAATAATGATAACGTAATTCATTAGTCATTCTAAATATCATTTATACGTAGTAAACTTTATATTATATATAAGTTATATATAGTATATATATATATTTCAATAATAACATAGGTTATCGCTTTTTAATAGCGCGTATCTAAAGGCAAAATATTGTCGTTATCTCATAGTTTATCAATTTATATTAGGCTGTGTGAGCATCTCTAATTTTTAATTAATTATCGTTATATACGTAATTAAACCCCATAAATCAAAAAAATTATGATATTAAACTTCTAATTTTATTCATCTAATTCCTTATCGATTTCTTTTGGGTTAAAGGTGAAATATCTAAGGTTCTGTTCTATATTATCTCTTTTTATTCCTTCCGTATCTTGTAATGTATCTATAAAAAAATTTATGTAATATAAGTTATATATAATTCATTACATTATAATTATATACAATTAATAAAAATATTACGAAACCTTCATTATAACTATTCATTTTTTCCATTCTCTTACGATGATTATCTTTTCTGATCTTATCTTTAATTTTTTTTAATCCAGTTTTGGTTGATGGAAATTTATTCTTTTCACTTGTTTTTTTAATTTTTATTGTATCATTCTTTTTTAAAGAACGTGCTTCACTTCTTTCATTAGAATTATTATACCAAGCTAGAAATCGTTTTTTCAATTCTTCCTCGTTTAACGCTGGTTTGGTTTTGCTTAATTTTTTTGGCATCGTTTTTTTATCTTTATCGCTATTATTAAATATTGTTTAACGTTTAATTAGAATCTTTTAACCTAAAAAATTGAATGGTATATAAAAAAATTTATGATTCATACGTATCATATGATTTTTTTTTTTAGGATTACACTAATTTTGTAATTTATAACAAATATATCGATATGTGTACCGGGTATTCATCTACTCTTATCGTTTACCAATCAATGAGTACCGTTTATGAACCTTCCACAGCGGTGGACCCGTTAAAGTCCATTCTGCCTCTTCGTCGCACATTAAAAACCAATCAACCTATATTAATAACCTCTGTGACTACAGGTTCTTCCCCTTCTCTTCTTAATCAACTACATAAAATTTTTAATGAGATTATCGAAGAAGGAACTACATATCCTCAAGAATTCTTTCTTGATTATGATGGTTTTATTAACCTCTTTTTAAGTCATAATACTTTCGTTGTTTTGAAAGATGATGTTAATGAAAATGTTAATGAAAATTGGGATGATAAAGTAATGGGTATGTATTATATAAAACCTAATTATCCCGGAAGATGTAGTCATGTAAGTTACTACTATGCGTAAAGTAACATGTGGATCAGTGTCTACCGTTATAGGGCTTCGAGACTTTTTGATCAAATTCCGATAATTTATCGCGCTATATTCTTGTGCAAGTGCTCTATTCAGAAAACTTTCGTTGCGCGATATCATAATAAAATTTGCTATAATTCAATCAAAGTCTTTGTTTCTATTTTTAAATAAATAATTGAACATCGATTTTTAAATTTGAAAAATTGTCTCCGAAGCCTTATAACGGTAGACACTGACATATTTTTTTAAACTTTAAATATTTATAATAAATCAATATATGTTTTAGGTATGTAATGCAGGTTTCGTAGTTCCATTAAAATTTAGAAATTTAGGTATTGGTAAAATAATGGCAGAATCGTTTCTTTTATTTGCTCCATTATTAGGTTATAAATCTAGTGTATTTAATTTAGTATTTGAAAATAATATTGCTTCTATAAACCTTTGGAAATCTCTTGGTTTTAAAGAAATTGGTAAAATACCTAAAGCTGGAAGATTAAAAGGTTCCGATAAATTAATTGATGCATTCATGTTTTATTATGATTTTGATGAAAAAAATTAACATTTATACAAGTATAAGTTTGTATACAGATAGTATTTAAAGACAAATAATTATATTAATAAAATTTAATTTTAAAAAAAATAAATTAATTTTTTAAAATTTTGTATACAGTATTTTCATATATACAGTATTACTGTATACATATAATTAAATTAGTAATTAAAATTTTTTTTAAACACTATATATACATTAAATACAGTATAAAGAACTACTTGTTTTTTTTGATATTTTTATATATATTTTATTTTTTAATTAAAGATACTGTACAGTATTTTGATCATATTCACGGATATTAAGAATTACTATTTAAAATTTCAAAAATCTTTAACTATAAATAACTTTTGATTCGCTGGTCCGTTTTTGGATGATTTTACCATTAAAATCCAATTATGAGATCCCGAGATAGTTAAGGATTTGTGTCACTTCGGGTGTTTTAGGATTGATCAAGCCAATCCTAAAACACCCGAAAAGACACAAATCCTTAACGATCATAATTGGATTTTAATGATTTTGGGCTCGTTAGAATCGTCTCATTAAGAGGGTCATTTGATCTAAAACCGACCAGAATCAAAAGTTATTTATGGTTAAAGATTTTGAAAATTTTAAATAGTGATTCCAAATATCCGCGAATATGTAACTATTTAACTAAATTTAATAAATTTTTTTTACATACAAATTTATAAAATAATTATAATGTATTTAAATAATTGTTAAAAAAATTAATATATTTGTAGCTATAGCTATCTGTAGCCACTATAATCTTTATAATAATTTAAAATTTTATTAGAGTAATTTTTGTTATATAACTACAGTAAGTAAATTTGAATTTTACTCTAAATTTTAATTATAACTCTAACTCTAACCCTAATCTTAATCTGATTATAAAATTTTATGAGGATGTATAATGCTGGTTATATTTAATATAAATCCTACTAATAATATTTAATACTTTATATTTATATTTTTAATACAGTAGTACCTAATACAGTACTTTGTATCTACAGTAGCATAGGCATAGATATAAAGCATTAGTACCTGGTCTAGTGCCAATGTGCCATACATAAACCTCTAGTTGAAACTAAAAAACCATATTGTTAAGCACTAACTATTTGATTTTATTTATTTTCAGATAATTTATTACATTTTGCAATATTAAAAAAAACTGTATTACAGTTCAATTACAAACTTCAGATTTTAAACTATCTAACTATATAGATATTCCTCTAACAATTACATTTTTAATGCTTGCTAATCATTATCGTCAGCCGGTAATCTTAGTCAAGAGAGTGCACCACCACTTGGTCAAAAAGGGCAAGAAAATTATTTGGCCAAAATGGCCAGATACATAGTTGGTTAAGAGAAACTTGGCTAATTGATCAGCCAATTGGCCAAAAAATTGGTTGGCCGCAAAAAATTGCTAACACTACCTTACCAGTATTTGCACATATGATCTTATTGGTCAAATTTTGCGCACCTTCGGTGCTTAAAACCGACCAATCAAATCACATTCTGTAAATACCTCAGTTATTTGGCACTTCGTGCCAAAGTAACTACTAAATAAATATGGTTACCCGGCGAACTCATATGACTATGAAAATATTTCTTGTTATTTTTTCATGTATTACAATGTAATCATGTTCATTCAAATTAAAACTTCAGCCGATAACTCACTGCGAATCATGATCATAGATTAAATTGTTCGAATACGGTAATTTGACAAATGATTGGTTGATATGTGCCGCTTTGCGGCACGTGCCCATTTTCCAAATTACCGTTATTCAACAATTTGTCCAGTATTGTATACTTAAACTACAATTTATGCATTTTCTTAGAATTGACTTTATTGTAAGTATGCATTTATAAGAAGCATTCTTATAAGTGTTATTAATAGTTAGGGCCAAAATTTAGAATACAATAATATATTTATATATAAAATATATATATACAGTATAAAGATCTACTATATATAAGTATTTTAATAATATGTGTCTAAAAATATTTAAAGATACTTTAAAAAGTAAATCAATTTAAAATTATAAATATTGCAGTATAATTATAAATATTTAGACAATTATAATATTTATAAATGAGTGCGTGAGAGTGAAAACCTGAAACTTATCATAGTAAATCATTATATGCAGGTTTTCATTCTCACGCACTCAAATATATAATTAGATAATTAAAAATATTAATTATAAAATATAACATTGAAACAAGAAAAAGCCATTATATTAAAATTATGTAAGATTTGTTACTTAACTCCATTTGTTTGTTACATAGTTGTGCTTAAACTTGTATATAGCTAATATA